GGAAATCACACTCACTTCAGTCACAGGTTGTCCTCAGGTGTATGGCTGTGTGAAGCAAAGGGAAGGGGATGAAGCTCTTGCCATCCTGAATGCTGGTGACAGAATCACAGAATAGAATCATAGAATTGTCTAGGTTGGAAGAAACCCTTGGGATCATCGAGTCCAACCATCTACCCTACTCTACAAAGTTCTCCCCTACATCATATCCCCCAACACTACATCTAAATGGCTCTTAAACACAGCCAGGGATGGTGACTCAACCACCTCCCTGGGCAGCCTATTCCAATGCCCAACCACTCTTTCTGTGAAAAATTCTTTCCTAATGTTCAGTCTAAAGAAGCATACACAACCAGGAAAGGAGGGTGACAGAAAGATGCTGCCACCAGGCATGGGCTCTCCTTTCCTCTCAGACCTCTTGAATTCCTTTTTATGTCTCTGCCACAGGCCATGGCACGTGCTGGAGGGGCTCAGCACAATGTGGAGCAGCCAAGGGCAGAAAAAGAGCTGGTATGCTGTGGTCCCAGAGTGAAGGGCTTGATACGTGGTCATTTGCTACACGGAGTGCAGTGACCCTGTTCTCCAGGACCCTGACTCCTTATTGCATGCTCTGGATCCATTGGGGGGGGGCGCGGCTCAGCTATACAGCAGCAGCCCAGACAGCCTTGCTGGAGCTCTAGCACGGAAACAATCAGCTGCCAAGCACAAAATCCAGTTCCTGAGACTGTCCAAAGGGACTGATGCAAGGGGAATGAGCCCTTATGGCCCACTGCAGGTTAGGGCTGACTTAGGGTCTCAGTGATGAGATGGCCAGAGCAGACCCTCCCCAGAGATTGAGGCAGCTGTCAGGCCTGGCTATAACTTTAAGAGGAGGCTGGCAGTGCATCAGAGAGTGTACCAGCATCCTCGGAGGTGATATGTCATGGCTCTGAACCACCTACCTTGCCACGCCAAGCAAAGGAACCCATGGAACTCACCCCAAAAGCAAAAATCATTCAGGGGTAGGGTCATGAAAGCCAAGGCTGGCCTGGAGTTGAATCTGGCAAAGGATGTGAAGGGCAACAAGAAAGATTTCTACAAGTACATAAACAAAAGGTATACCAGGGAAAATGTGGGTCTGCTGCTGAATCCCCATTCAGGGGCCCTGGTAACATAGGACATGGAAAAGGCCAAGGTATTCAATGACTTCTTCACTGCTGTCTTTACTGAGAAGACTCACCTTCAGGAATCCCAGGCACAAGAGATCAGGGGGAAAGTCTGAAGCAAGTAAGACGTACTCTTGGTAGAAGAGGATCGTGTTAGGGAAAGCTTAAGCAAACTGGAAATACAGAAAGTCCATGGGCCCTGATGGGATGCACCTGCAAGTGCTGAGGAAGCTGGCCAATGTCACTGCAAGGCCACCCTCAATATTCTTTGATTGATCCTGGCAACTGGGAGAAGTGCCTGAAGACTGGAGGAAACTAAATGTCACTCCTATCTTCAACAGCAAGAAGGAGAACCCAGAGAACCACAGGCTGGGTAGCGTCGCCCTGATCCCTGGAAAGGTGATGAAGCATTTCCAAGCGCATGAAAAACAAGAAGGTGATCTGGAGTAGTCAGCATAGATTTACAAAGGGGAAATCATATTTAAGTAACCCAATAGCCTTCTACAATGAGGAACTAGCATGATGGATGAGGGGAGAGCAGTGGATATTGTTTACTTCAATTACTAAGTTTTTGACACTGTCTCCCAAAACATCCTAACAGACAAACTGGCAAAATATGAGATAGATAAGTGAGCAGGGAGGTGGACTGAAAACTAGCTGAATGACAGGCCCAGAGAGTGCTGATCTGTGGCACAAAGTCCAGCTGGACATCAGTCACCAGTGGTGTACTCCAGGAGTCAGTCCTGGGGCCACCCAGCTACAAGGTATGTATGCAAAAAAAAAGACATGGAGATCCTGGCAGGCAAGAAACTGACCATCAGCAAGCAATGTACAGTCATGGTAAAGAAGGCCGACAGCATCGTGGGCTGCATTAGGAGGAGTGTTGCCAGCAGGCCGAGGGAGGTGATCCTTTCCCTTTATTCAGCACTGGTGAGGCCATACCTGTAGTCCAGTTCTGGGTTCCCTGGTGCAAGAGACATGCACATCCTAGACAGAGTCCATCAAAGGGCCACAAAGATGATTAAGGGACTAGAGCACCTCTCCTTTGAGGAAAGGCTGAGAGAGCTGAGACTGTTCAACCTGGAGAAGAGAAGGCTCAGAGGGGGATCTTATCAATTGTATATAAATACCTGAAGGGATAGAACAAAGAAGTAGAAGCCAGGCTCTTTCCAGTGGTGCCCAGTGCCAAGACAAGAGACAGTGGGCACAAATTGACATGCAGGCAGTTCCATCTGAACACAAGAAAATTTTTTTCACTGTGAGAGTGGCCAAACACTGGCACAGGTTGCCCAGGGAGGACGTCTCCATCCTTGGGGATATTCAAAACCCAACTGGACACTTTCCTGGGTGGCTTGCTGTAGCTGACCTTTCTTGAGAAGGCAGTTGGACCAGGTGATCTCAAGAGGTCCTTTCCCATCTTGCCATCACATCCCAGTGAGATGGCAAGAGAGGCCATCACATTGCCACCTGCCTCAGCAAACCCCTTTTTTCCCCAGTGCCAGAAAACATCTTACCTCAACGAAAGCAAAGAGGGCCTGGTCAGGCCACACTTACTGAAGTCCCATATTGCAGTAGCCCCTATCCTCAACCTCCTGGATGGGCACACCCTCCAAAACAATCTTCTGGTTCAATCAAGAGCCTCCCATAGGTTTGTGGCCACTGAATTTGCCCAGAGCACCCAGACCCTTACCCAGCTCACCCCAAACACTGTCACTGTTACAGATGGAAGAACACATGGTAGGGCCACAATCCAAGAGACCTTAGAATAACTGTGGCACCCAGGCACTTAGAGACTCTACCATCTGGCCCTAGTTATGGGATCGCAAACTTGTCTTTAACTGGCACTTGGGATCCTTGTGCTTCCCTGTGGGAAGGGAAGACCCAGATCCCATGGCAGCAACTGGCCCAAGGAGCCATCAGGGGTTGTTTCCCCTACCACAGGGCTCTGCATGGGTTGTTCTAGAGATTCCCTGCTTGTGAGAGCAGGCCAATGCCAGCATCCTGGAGTTAAGTAGTTTAGCTGGCCCTGTCCAAAGTCAGCTCCTTCACTGAAAAGGGCCATTGTGAAAAAAGCTCAAAGTGAGGGTCTGCTCCTCCTTCCCCTGAAAAGCTGCTTTTAAGCTGCACCTTTACCACCGGCTACATGGCAGCTGTGCAGCCGCTGTGTCTGTGCCCAGTCTCGTTTCTCCAGTTCTGCCCCTGACAGGACTCGCTGACTTGACCTTCAGGCTGGACCTCAGCCCTCCCCTGTCTCTGCATACATGCTGGGTCTGTGGCCCCCAGCAAGCAATGGACTGGCACTACCTCCAGACCAGAGTCTTATCCTGACTTTCTACTGAGCACCCTGCACAAAGAGGTCCCTGCTGCCCAGGAACCTGCCAGTGCCTCTGGGGTGACAGGATTTGCAAAAGGAAACAGAGTGCATGAGAAGGCAGTGGAGGGCTTGGGAAGCATCTGAGGGCCCTCCATATGGGCTCCAGCGTGAAAAGGAAAGCAAATGTAGGACACTGGGATGCCCTGCAAAGAAAATTAGGGACTCTAGGTGGCACCAGAAGGCAATCAGAGGAGTCTGAGGTGTACAGGAGGGAAATCGGAGGCCTCTCAAGGTACATCTTGTTTTGAGGGCACTAAAAGGTAAATGGAGTGATTCTTAGGGGATGAGAGGACCAAATGGAAGCCCCTGCATTGCACCAGAGAGCAAATAAAAGACCCTGGGGAGCATCAGAGGGGACATCAAAACCATTCATTCAATTCTGTGTGCATTCAGATCCCTTCCATTCCCCTCCACACAGTCTCTTTTCCCCCACATGCCACTGTGCTCCCTTCCATTCTTCTCTATTCATGCCCAGGCTCCCTCTGTTACCCTCTGTGGACCCCCAACTACTCCCCATTCCCTTTTGAGTGCTTGTAGATCCTCTGTTCTCCCCCCCCCCAGTTCCTATCCATGCATGCTCAGATCTCCTCCACTCCCCTTTGTGCACCCCCACTCCCTGCCATCCTTTCTGAGTGCCTTACATCCAAACCATGCCCCCTCTACATGCTTTCAAATTCTCTATATTCCCTTCTGAGTGCTTCTAGGTCCCCTCAGACTCATTCTCTTCACTTCCAAGTACTTTCAGATCCTCTCCATTCCTATCCAGCTGCTTTCATATCCTCTCTGTTCCCCTCATTGTTCTCTCTTGGAACCCCTCTGCTGTCCTCACACAAACTGATCCTCACCATTCCCCCCCTTGTATGCTCAAGTGTCCTCCATTTCTCTCTGTATGTATCCGTATCTCCTCCATTCTCCTCCTCGAATACTCAGTCTCCTCTGTCCCTTTCAGTGTCTGCTTAGCACTGACTTCTCCCCTTTGTGCATACTCACATCCCTCTTTTCCATGACAAGTGCCCTTAGATTCCCATTGTTGCCTTCTATACACGCTCAAATCCCACCCATCCCTTCTGTCAGTGCTCAGTTCCTATGAGTTCCACTGTCAGATCCCTTCCAGTCCCTCTGTGCACCCTCCACTCCCCTCCATTCCCTCTCCATGTACACAGGGTCAAGCTTCCTGCTTTCCCCTCTGTACACGTTCAGAACCCTCCATTCCCCTCTGTACATGCTCAGACCCCTGTTGCTGCACTCCATCTGCCCAGTTTCACTCCGTTCCTGGGCAGACACTTGCTTTCCTCTGTAGCCATCCATCCTGCATGACCAGTCTCCCAGACCCAATGCCCCAGAGACCATAGCAGTCTCAGCTGGCCTACAGAAGCCTTTTAGCCCGTGTCTTTCAGCAAGCCCATACAGCTGCCTCCTTGCAGATCAGGACTGTGGCCCACTGGGGAATAGAGACTTCTCCTGCTCCCCCCCAGACGGAGATCACCTCTGCCACAACCCTCTGCCTGCTGTCATCCAGTCCAGAAAACACCAGCTGCTCCAAATACTGTCCCGCAACAGTCTCTCTGGGAGTCTCAGGGCTGCTTTGACTTCCCCACGAAGAGCTAGGCTGGGCTTGTCAAAAGCTCATTAAACAAGAAACAATTGACGTGGCAGCACCCTGCTGTAATGGTGGGAGGCGGGGACATCCCCAGTGTTTGCTCACCACAGTGGTTGGTGACTGGCATTCAAGTGCTTATTTACTGAGCTGCTCTTCAAAGCTCCCAAATATGCTGTTCCCAGGGGAAATTCCACCCAAGGAGTTAAGCACTCAGAGAAGAGACCATTCCAAGGACTTCTGCTGGCACACGGGTTATTTTCTTTGCAGCTCTATGCACCTAGAACCACAGGCACCTTCATCTCAGTTTGTGTTTTCTAAGGGCACAAAGGAAACCCAGCCTGATTCCCTCCTCCAGAAGAAAGAAAGCCAAGAAGGGGGTAGGACCCACTCACCCCACCCACTGCAGAGGGCACTACAAATGCCTCTATGAGACCTGCCGCTCCACAGCTTTGCGCTCCAGTGGGCATTACTGCTTGGACGTCATGGGTGAGTACCGAGCTGGGAAGTGGGGTGCTCCTTGCTGGCAATGGGAAAAGCGCAGGTAGGGCAGCCCAGCAATAGGGAGAGGCTCTGTGCACTGGTCCTTGCACACTGATGGGGAGCAGTGGCACCAGTGGCTTCCGAGAGCAGGCTCACCTGCCACCCCTTCAAACACCAGCAGCTTGTGCCCTTCCTTCTGGCTCACCCCAGCCAGTCCCCTGCTTCAGCGGGCAGGAATAAAACTTGGCTCAGTCAGTTGTAGGGTACTCTGCTCCACCCAAAGCTATCATCTCATGCATGACTTTTCAGGAGCTGGTCAAGGGGAAAAGGCAAGGTTGTCTACCCCTTGGGCAAAAGAGCTGAGGCTTTTTGGCAAGCTTTCCAGCTTGCATGGACCAGTCTGATGCCGCCCAGCATGCTTGGTGCACTCCTGTATCTCACATGGTTGTGTTACAGTATGCAGTGTTGGAGCCATTGGATTTCATGCCTCTCGGGATGGAGGGTCGCATCTCATCTTTTCTGCATCTTTTCCCTTTCTAGCAGCCCAGTGCCTTCTACTCCTGGCTTGCACACTGGTCTTGGCTGCCCCAGGCCACTCCCTAAACATCTTCAAGAAATCTCCCTCCAACACTTCAACAAGTGCTCTGAAGAAAACCAGTACGTAGCATCCCGTGGGCATCGCTGTGCTCTCAGCAACCCCTTTCAGTTCCTTGGTCTGGGTCAGCCCTAGCTGGTGAACAGCCCTAGCTCATGCTCTGGGCCAGTGGAGGCTTGGTAAAATGATACTTGGAAGAGGGTGTGTTATTGATGCCTTAGATCCAAAACACACCTCTATAGTGTATATAGGCAGGCAGGCTGGAGAGAAGTGGCATCAAACCCAGGCTTTGGCCAGCTGGGGAGAGGAGCTCTGCCCATCCATTAGAATGACCTTAACTGCAGTGGGAGGTCCTGCAGTAAGCAAGCTGAAAGCATGGGGAGACCACACCTGCCAGCACAGGTGGGATCCAGTGTTGCGTGCTCATGTACCACCACAGGTAGGGAAGTGCTCTACACCCTCCCTAGCCCTGGCCCTGCTCCAGGATGGAGGATGGTGGATGTGAGGCAGTGTACCCTATGCAGGCTGTAGTGCTCTATGTGTGCATGTGTGTGTGTCCATGTGTGCACTGTGCAGGCTGGTAAGGGTGTCTGTGTGCTTGAAGGGGTCATTTTTCTCCTGTTCCCTCAGTCACAGGCAGAGGCAAGCTCCTCTTCACCTTCCTCCCCAGCAAGATCCTGGTTTAGTGACACAACCCCTTTTTCAGTAGACCCAAAGGAGCCCACTAGTGTCCATATCTGTCTCCTGGCCTGATACCAGCATAGCCCATTGGGTCTGGGGCCTTTCACTGGGGCTGCCTCCTGTTAAGTGTCCCATATGGAAGAGTTGCAGAGGGCTGAGGCCAACCCACTCTCACCTCCAGCCAAGCACATTGACCTCTATGGGCTGGGACAGCTGATTATCCCGCAGGTACTCTGCCCAGACATCCCTCTGTCCTGCCACAGGGTGAAACATGGTCTTGTCCTGTTGCAGAAGCTTTTGTTAAATCACTCTCTCTCCTGCCCCAGGTTGGCCCAAGGACTGCAGCGAGATCCCCACTGGCAGCCCCAGCGGCGTCTACATTATCCAGCCCACAGGACTGCACCCCATCATGGTGTACTGCGAAATGAATGTGACAGACGGGGGCTGGACGGTCATCCAGAGGAACCGGCAGAGCACGGAGGTCACCTGGGCTGAGTCCTGGAGCACCTACAAGTACGGCTTTGGGAACGTGCACACCGAGTACTGGCTGGGCACTGAGTACATCCATCAGATCTCCAGGCAGAAGGTCTACCAGGTCAGGTTTGTCATCTGGGATGCCACAGACGACATCAAGTTTGCAGACTACAACCTCTTCAGTGTGGAAGATGAGTCCCATGGCTACCGGCTGAGGCTGGGAATGTATTCGGGGACAGCGGAGGATGCCATGGACTCAGACAATCCCAGGAATGTGCACAACAACATGAAGTTCTCCACAAAGGATTGGGATCAGGACACTTACAGAGGGAACTGTGCCTCCCGCTCTGGCGGCGGGTGGTGGTACTCAGCGTGTTATTCTGTACAACTGAACGTGAAGGGGGCCATAACGTGGGGCAGCCTGTGCAACAGGAACTGCAAAGCTTCTGCCATCCTCATCAAACCAGCTCCATACCACTAGTACTCTTTTCCCCTCCCATCTGCACTGGGCCAGGCCTGTTTTGCTGGCTGGGGGGACTAGGGGTGAATAGGATTGTTCCTGTCTATCAAAAGCTGTTTTCTTCTCCTCTTTTCTTGAAAAGTAGCAAAGCTCCCTGCTTTGTCTCCAGCCTTTCATCTGTGGTGGGTTTTTAGGGATCATTATTAGAAAAAGTCTTTATAAAATGCAGTGGTTTCCAAACATGTTCCTTACAGTGAGAAAACTGTGCTGAGAAACTTAAAACCCTCTTAATCCAGCAAGGTCTTATTTTCTTTCTGCTTTGTGGGATAGATAGCTTCAGCAGAAAAAAATCAGTCATCACTAGATAACCTGATCTAAGCTGCTGCTCTGAGCCCAGGCAGACTATGTACACATTGTATTCCTGCTGTAAGCTGTCTTCATCCTGAGAATAAAATTGCTTTCAGAACCTGCACAGACATGTGCAAATGTCCTTCATTTGTTTGCGAACTTCTCACAACTGCTGACAGTTTCTTGCCAGCAGCAGACCTGAGGCTCCTGGTACAGTAAGAAAAGACTTTCAAAGCAAAAATTTTTCATAAGACTGAAATGAGGAATTAAAGACAAACCTTTCACTTAAAGAAGAGAGTTGGGTTTTAAGGTGGGGATCTTTGAAAAATAGAATGCGGTATCACATGGCCAAGAGCAAGGACTGAGGGCAGGGGAGAAGCATCAGCTCAGTTCAGCTCTACCAGTCATGACCTGGAGCTAACCAGAGACAGCAGGCCAGGCCAGGATCATCCTGCCTTGTTAACCTTGTCAATGCTGGCCCAGGCCTTGGGAGGTAACTAGAAGAATGGAAGAAAACACAACAGCACTGTATAGCCACATAGTAGTACATGGTTGGGATATCCGGGGCAGGTTTAAGAGCTGAGGCAACCTGACATGTCAAGGACCCCAGAATTTTAAGAGGCCTGGATTAGCTTCGGTCCATATCAGCTTCCTCCAGTGTGGTGATATCTCTGTGCACTGGATAGCTCAACAGTGGACATGGTACCTGTGATGTGATCTCCCAGTCCTGGGCAGAAGGGAGTGATGTCTTACTGGCTGCACTCTTGCTAGTACAGCACAAGATGCAGTTCACCCTCAACACTGCAAGGCTGCATTGCTGACTCCTGGGCAAATTGCTGTTTACCAGGATCCCCAAGCCCTTTTCACAGAATAACAGAATGGTGGGGGTTGGAAGGGACCTCTGGAGATCATCTAGTCCACCCCCCCGCCAAAGCAGTGTCACCTAGAGTAGGTCGCACAGGAATGCATCCAGGCGGGTTTTGAATACCTCCAGAGAAGGATACTCCACAACCTCTCTGGACAGCCTGTTCCAGTGCTCTGCCACCCTCAAAGGAAAGAAGTTTTTTCTCATGTTCAGATGGAATTTCCTGTGTTCCAATTCATGCCTGTTGCCCTTTGTCCTGTTGCTGGGCACCACTGGAAAGTGTCTGGCCCCATCCTCTTGACACCTGCCCTTTAGATATTGATAAGCATTGATGACATCCCCTGTCAGTCTTCTCTTCTCCAGGCTAAACAGACCCAGGTGTCTCAGCCTTTCCTCATAAGAGAAATGCTCCAGTTCCTTGATCACCTTTGTAGCCCTCTGCTGGACTCTTTCCAGCAGTTCCCTGTGTTTCTTGACCTGGGGACCCCAGAACTGGACACAGTACTCCAGATGTGGCCTCACCAGGGCAGAACAGAGCGGGAGGACAACCTCGCTCAACCTGCTGGCCATGGTCTTTTTAAATACACCCCAGGATAGCATAGGCCCTCTTGGCCACAAGGGAACATTGTTGGCTCTTGGTCAACTTGTTGCCCACGAGGACTCCCAGGTCCCTCTCTGCAGGGAGACTTCCGTCAAGTCTCTCCACTCCAGTTAAGTTGTACATCCAGGCTGGAGTGCAAATAACTTTTTAAACCAGTGGACATATCTCTCAGTCCAGAAATGCAACTCTCAAGTCAGATCAAACTGGGAAGCCTTTCTCAATCAGCAGCACCCTCATATATTCATCTCCCCATGCATCAGGGCTGCAGGCTCATCAATGCCTCCAGGGCAGCCAAAGTTGCCCGTGCAGCCTCTTCAGGAACACGGCACTGCCATAGGTCTGCAAGGTGCCCTGGGACTTCATTCACAGATCTTGGCCTGGGACTCCCAAGTTGTTCAGGATTCACAGCCACAAGCCTTCCTCGAGCTCAGCTTTTCTTCCAAAGACAGAGGAGAGGAACCGCGGCTTCTTTCAATCCCCAAGTTCAATCGTCCCTCCATCACAAAGGAGATCCATAGCCACATTCCCCTCTGCAGCAGAGTATGATGGGACTGACTTACCCACATCTCTCACGCCCTCAAGGAAGCCTACCCCCTCTCCACATGCCAATCTGTGGTGATTTCTTCCCTTTCACAGCGTAGAGCAACCACCCAGCCATGGACAGGGGCAAAATATGAGCAAAGGTTTTACAAGATACTGGGCTTTGCTGGGCCTGCTGGTTAATCATATCCTTACAGCCACGGTTCAGTGCACAGTGGCTGGGACAAGCCATTGGAAGCGATATTGCGTTCAGAGACCTGAGAACCTAACCACAGACAGAATTAGGTACTCAGCTGTCTACAACAACTGTACCAAAGAGAGAAAAGCTCGTGTTACAGGCTGATGCTGGGGACAGTCAGCAGCAGCGAGCATGGGTGTTAGGCCTTTCACTATGGAACATTGAAATATTTCAGAAAAAAAAAAATAAAGAAGAAGTAAAATCAGCATACCACACTAGCTCTGCACCAGCTCAGCTTGGGCGCAGAATCAGCTCCACAACTGACCTGGCCCAGCACTGCCTGAGCAAATCATCTTGAAACCAGCAGCCACCACATCAGCCCTGGGACGTGTGAGGTCTGCATGCCCCAGGGAGGTCTGACATCCCTTGGGTAGGTGTGTCTCCTTGCCCAAGAAAGGACCTGCATAACGCACCTACTTTCCCCCCAGGTCCACCACCCTGGGGTCTGGACAGAGTGATCCCCCAACACTTATGTGCAGTGTCGCGGTGGCAGGTAGACACAAGGCAGCGCAGTCTGGCTCCAGGGTTTATTGCAGCTGATATCTCCCTCCATGGGTAGCAGAGCTGTGGGGCGTATGGGGCCCAGAGAGGGATCAGGGCCTGAGCAAAGCAGGGCTACACCGACTGCACAGGGAAGGGAACTTGCACTGTCTCCCCCTCCCCAGGACAGGAGTGGGCGCACCCACCCCAAACCAGTGCCTGTGTCCCAGTGCTGGCCAGCACCACAGCACTGGGTGAAGCTGCCAACATGCCTGGGGCTTGGGGCGATTGCTCCTCAGCCGCAGAGCTGATGTGTTTCAGCTGGTGGCGGTGAGGGAGCTGTGGGCAGCGCAGAACGTGCACCAGGGCTGGCCCAGGGCTGTTGGCAGGCACGGGAACGGGGCACTGAGCTGGGGAGGGTGGCACTCCCACAGACTCCTGGGAGGCTGGGAGATGCAGCACGGTCAGCACACGTCTGTGGGTTTGACCAGGATGAGGGAGGATGTGCAGTCACCTTTATCGCAGAATCCTGGCCAAAGGATGGTTTTTTTGGCATTGAGCAGCACGTTCTGGCACCTGTCGTACCACCAGCCCCCGTAGCTGTTGGCGCAGTTCCCACTGTACTGGTCCTGGTCCCTGTCGGTCGTGCTGAACTTCATGTTGTCATGTATGCCCCCCTTCTTGGGGTGGTAGCTGGTCAGGTAGTCATCCCCATCACCAGAAAACCGACCCAGCCTCAGTGGGTACCCACTGGCCTCACTCTCCACCCTGAAGATGTCATATTCGGCATAATGGGTGACGTTGGCTTTATCCCGCACAACGAAGCGGACCTTGTAGGTGCCCTGCTGCGTCAGCAGGTGCAGGTACTCAGTGCCCAGCCAGTGATCGCCCTGCACGTTCCCGAAGCCGTACTTGTAGGTGGTCCAGGACTCCTTCCATGTGATTTCAGTCGTGTAACTGTTTCTCTGGACAACAGTCCAGCCCTTGCCTTCGGTGTCCATGTCACACCACACCACCCGTGGGGGTGACCCTGCCGGCTGGATGACATACACCCCACTGGGGCTGGTCTTGCGGAGATGGCTGCAGTCTGCAGGGAACCCTGTGACAGTAGCAGCAGCAAACACAGGGTGGGGTGGGAGAGAAAAGGGTCATACAAGTCTGTCAGGACAATAAGGAGTTCCTGTAGGGGAGTGAGGGCTGACAACAAAAAGGGCTGGGTTTATCTGTGGTCTACTTCACAGCGTAGAGTAGCTCATCCACAGTGCAACCAAAGGTCTCTAAGACAGTGGCCCTGATAAGAGGCCTAGGAGCTATTTCTCATGACTTCCTATTTCATTTGGAGTCTTCTAATGTGTCTGGCCAAGAAAAGAGGGGGAAAAAAAATCTTCCAAATGCTAGTGATGTCCTCTATGGAACATTGAAATATTTCAGAAAAAAAAAAAAAAAAAAGAAGCAAAATCAGCAAAAATCGCCTGCATACCACACTAGCTCTGCACCAGCTCAGCCTGGGCGCAGAATCAGCTCCACAACTGACCTGGCCCAGCACTGCCTGAGCAAATCATCTTGAAATCAGCAGCCACCACATCAGTGCTGGGAGGTATGAGGTCTGCATGCCCCAGGGAGGTCTGACATCCCTTGGGTAGGTGTGTCTCCTTGCCCAAGAGAGGACCTGCATAATGCCTAGGAGCTATTTCTCATGACTTCCTATTTCATTTGGAGTCTTCTAATGCGTCTGGCCAAGAAAATTGATATATTAAGCTGCAGCTTTTGCAAGGATCTGAACTGTTCAAAATGCTCCACTGGGTGAGGATATGTAATGAAAACTTATGTTTTCCCTAGGGATCACGGTATTGCAAAAGAAGGCTAAGTTCTACCTTGATTTCATAGGGATCTCAGCTTGTTGCAGTTTATCTTTTAGCAGAACTGATCTGTTGTGACTTACTTGCCAA